GGTGGTCTTAATATAGTGGTCACTTAAGTTAAAATTTTTCAAGTCTGCTCACAAGACTTTCATGCTATATGAACCTTTGAATTTACGCAGTTTTTGAGCACAAAAAACTTCAGTTTTCCAGACTTACGTCTGATAAGGATATAGAAAATGTATTCAGGTCAATTGAAGCAGAAATCTTCAATATCGCGGGTTTTTGTGTGATGAGTTTCAAAATAATTTGTTTCTGGCCGGTAGGAGACAGCACACTTTAATAAATCGGGGTTTTAAGCTTCGGTACTGATAATGATTTGGTTACTTTAGTAAAGACATCGGGCGGTAAATTCAAGTCTTCATATTCTTCAAAGAACATTAAAGCTTCTTAGACATCAGGAAAAAAAAAAAACGTGGATAGTACTCCTACACGAACTGAATATGAATGATGGATGAAATAGTTAAAGAAAGATGCATTTCACTGAAGTAGATGTGGAAGATGTATAAAAATAGAATGCACTGATGTTTCCTATATTTTTTTCTATATTTGATTGAGTAAAAAATTAAGAAAACGTTATAAAGTAAAATAAAATATCACTCGTTAGTACGCGAGAAACATTTATTTTGTATGCTGTTATTCCACGATTGATGAAAAAAGAAAGATAATTTGAGGTTATCAAAAATATGTAGTTACACAGAAACATCTTATGCCTAATATTTGGTATACAAGCTGAGGAATAAATGGTCACAAATTTATGTAACGTATGACAGAAAGTAACGTTGGTTAAGCGTAGTTCAAATCTAGACTGTCTTTGACCGGCATACCGAACAAGTATGTTATCGACGTTTCTGAGAAATACCAGACAGAGAGCGACTCCAGACCAACGGTCACGTGCTCTGATCAGTAGTAGCATTAGGCTTAAAGCTTAGAATATTTTGCTCTGTAAGTGTACATTATACGTAAAACTAAACTTAAGATTATACGAATAGTATTCATTATTGTACTTAGAAATACTGCCAACAGTAACATACAATACTTTAAACATTTTCACTACACACACTACACACACACACACACACACACGCACAAAATCGATATAAAGTGTTTCCTAGCATATAAATTTTAAGAGAAATTTCGAAGGTTTTATTTTGTCATCAGAGATTGATATCGATAAACCTAATAAACGCAATTAAACGTTATACATAAAAATCTGACCAGGAAGTATATATTTAGATATGCATATATAAGGTTTAAGGTTGGTGAGCCTTCCAACGAATGTTTTTTTTTTTCTGAATAAGTGAATAATGAGATCGAGCAGAACTCGAACCCGAGACTCCTTAATATAAGCACTGCACTTTCCTTATCATCGCTGGGGCACGGCCTGTTTCAGGCCTCTTTCTGGGTGATCCTGGTGACCAAGGTTAGTTGGTCCACATTTCTTTGTTTCCCAATGCCATTAAGTACAAGGGATATCAAAGTCTTAGAAATTCGAAATCACATATCTTAATGATCTAAGTCTGAATGTTTTGCGTTGGAAAGAGCTGTCACATACCCTTCTCGAAAACGATAAAGTTTCGTTCACATTACGAAACGCAAAAAAATGTCGAAATGTATTTCTGGTGTATGCCATTTCACTGCGGCTTTATATCGGTTGCGGATGTCACGTGACTTGCCGATTTCCATATTCAAATCAGCTTGATATACGGTAATCAACGCTGTAAACCACAAAGTGTGCTGTAATCCACGAAATGTAGAAGTTACGGAGTTCAAGATGCAGTTGTTCAGTTTACTAAACCATCGATCTGCCTACGAAGAGGCGTACGTTCGAGTCCCGTGAGGCCTCGGTTTTCACTTTTCCAGAAAAAAACAACAACAAAAACAGAACACATAATTACATAACAGAGATTCGAAAAAAGGTAACATGTTTCTTGGCAAAGAATAGAAACCCCTAGCGGCAATTAGACATGTCTTATTTACATTATATTTGTTACATCTTGAGTTTTCTGTTTTGAAGATTTTAAAATTTCATTATTCAAAGTATAAAATCAAACAATATACTTTAGTTCTTTGATAAATGGACAGTTGGAAAGATTCTATATGTTTTTATTAGGGTTTTGTAATAACATTAGTTTATTCACCATTTTTTGAGGGGCCAAAACATTTATATACTATATTGACCAAAAAACAAATCTGTTCCAGACAGAACTATTAAAATAACAAATACAAAAAATGTAATACAGGAAGATGTAAATCCAAATCCAACTGTTTTCACCAAGGTCTAAATTAACTTTTGATAAAGATGCATTAAGGGAGCAAGCTTAGTGAATGATTAAACAATTAAGAACTTATTCAACGACCCCCATTCTCCGGTAGTTGAGGATTTACCTATGTTACAGACACTACCCCTCCCCTGCAAAAGAAAAAGTTTAAAACAGCAAAATATCATATCAAAATATATCCCATAATGCCTCAAATGAACAATACCTTTCCCAGCCTTGTACCCGTGGCTTTCAGATCCATACTCCTATTTTCAACCGGTTACGATTTCACTTTAGGTAATCTAAAACACAATCTATCGGATGTGATCATTAATAATTGTTTATTTTTATAATTACATTTTCACAACTATGTAGAAAACCTCCATAGTTAACTATTCCCTTGCAGTTTTTGTAAGAAAGGACTTTCCTTGTTTTTCTTGGTGTGGCTGCTTTTGGTATTATTTTGTTATCACCTCTGAAAATGTAGTGATTCCTGAATCCCGATTACTTTCCGTTAGGATAAACGCCTATGTTTTATGCATTAATTTTATTCACAGTTTTTGAACGCACACACATATAATTTCTCATAAAGTTTTCTTCAAGTAATGTTTATGATGAAATCGAACACCGAATCAAGCCTATCTCTATCATACAGACACTTACAAAAGTTCAAAGTGTGTATCTTTACTACAAAAGACTCATTTATCGAACGAACACGCGGCTGAAAGAGCAAAGGTACGAATATTTAGACGAGCTTCAGATGCAAATAAAAAAAAATCCAAAAATGAAAAATGCATTCTAGAAAAGGAAAGACTACTTTGTTATATTTCAGGAAAGAGTCTACAGGCGCTTAGATCCTTTAATATAACTTTGACAAAATAAAATGTGATTATGAAGCCCTCTGCGACAATTACCAGTCTTGTCTTCCCTCTACTTCCCAGAAAGTTATGAGTTTATCTGTGACATCACTATATTATTTCTACACATGATTTCTAAGATGATTATTGAAATAGCCAAATAGGAGTGAGGGGGGGGGGGGTCTTCTTCTTTCCTTACATATATAAAAGAAGTTTTAGAGTAAACAAAATTGGTATCATATGACTTTATACAGTTTTCTTTATTCTCTCATTATATATATATTACAGACAGCTAGGGGTTTCATAAATATATATATATATATTGATTTATAAATCTTTGGATTAGTGGTAAAGGCAGAAAATGCTTTATAAAAATGCCCTCTCCCAGTGGCTCAGCGGTAAATCTGCGTGTTAACAATGCTAAAAACCGAGTTTCGATACCCGTGGTAGTCACAGTGCAGATAGCTTATTGTTTGGCTTTGTGCTTAACAACAACAAACAAACAAATTTATAAAAAATAATCAGTTAAATCTGTGGATTAAGATACCAGACAGAAGGAGGGATGTGTGTATCAGAAAACACCGAGGAAAGGTTTGCATTACAACATAACACAAAGGGAAATGCTTAGATATCCGATCTGTGTATAACAAAACACCGAAAATGATTTAAAAATCAAAAATGTAATTAAAAAACACATCAAAAAATGGTTTAGAGATTATTATATATTTAAGAAAACGTTAGATTAAGGTTTAAATATTTATATGTAACAAAATACCGAATAAATGATCAAAGTTACTTATATATAACAAAATACAGAAGAAATGATCAAAGTTAATTATATATATAACAAAATACAGAAGAAATGATCAAAGTTAATTATATATAACAAATCGTGAAGGAAAAAGTTACGGATCCTTATAAACAATACCGTATAGTAATATTTATGAGTCTCTATGGAATAATACTGCAGTGGGATTTAGTCATCTATAACACTAATAGTAAACCGCTGCGGAAAGTCTGCAGATCTTTATATGACAAAACACCATAGCAATATACATGGTTTGTTAAACACCATGGAAACGGTAAGGGGATTTCTACACAATAACACCACAGATAACTAACCTCGGTAATTCAAGGACTCCATAGGTGCGTTAGTCGTATTCAGCCCGCTATCAATAACCAAACGTGGCTAGACTATGCAAAGATGTACTCTGATATGGCCGTTTGCCTCTTTCTCTCTCGAGCCTTGCTGGCGCCACTACGTCACACCACAGTCGTCCTAGGCTTAGTTCTGGAAAACTCAACTATAGTTTCGATTTTGTGCGTGCATGTGATTTCAAGCATGCGTACATATATAATACGAAAAACGCTATACTGATGAAGTTTCGCAAAGCTAGCGTGTTGTCTTCATTATCTAAAAATGAAGGAAAAAAAAAGAGAACGTATTAATAAAGACCGTTTATTGTGCTGAGAATCAGCGCGTGTAACACAGGCACGGGCAGTTTGTCTGTTCGTTTATGCAAATCAGTTGGGACTCAGGGTTCTCTAATTATCCGCTAAAGTTACTCCTAACTTCGGTAATTACCAAAAGATATTTATGGATTGTCTTCGATTTTCTGACGTAGCTGCAGTGCGTAAGATTGCTCGCACGCGCGAATAACACTTGTTTCTGAAAACGAAGTTTTACTGACTTTAAATCGAAATTAGCATGCATGTCAGCATATATTATTTCTTTTAGTGACAAGGCATTAGACTGACTATCTGGCTGTAAAATAGCTCATGTATTGATAACGTGTTATACACATCTGTTGCAACCACGTATAATCCATCCAATCTCTTAGCCACAATACCAGTATATTTCTGAAAACCTTGTTGCATTAATGTCCAAGCTTCTTTTATATGTGTGGGTGATGATTCATTTCAATGAAGAGAGTTTTTGATTATAAAAGTTATCAAACTCGTGAACAATTTTATTGCGTTTGTGGGCGTAATCAAAGACTTTAACATAGCTTTTTATTTGTTTTATTTTGAATTTCACACAAAACTACTCGAGGGCTATCTGCGCTAGCTATCCTAGAGGGAATGATACTAGTCAACACCACCCATCGCCAACTGTTTGACTAATGGATATTGGGATCGACCGTCACAAAATAACAGCCCACACGGCTGAAAGAGCAAGCACATTAGTAGACGGGATTCGAACCCGCGACCCTCAGATTACGAGTCGTGGGTTCTAACCACAGGACAATCTTAACACAGTTCAACGTAAATTGTTTTAACATGTTTGCTTAGTATGGCTCGTGCATACAGTCAGTATCATTCAATTTACCTTTATAATTTTACTTCTTATTATCTTGATTTGTTTATCATTTTAATTGTACATTTATTTTCTTACAGTCGCTTCTTACGAACACATTCATACATTATTCTTGATCTTTCAGTCATGAATTTCTCCTATCCTTCCAGTTACACAGTTATTATCATTTTATTTAATTGGGATTTTTATCGCCATAAGTACAGTTCTAACATTTAAAACAGTGAATTCGTACCTCTCTAACCACACTGTCTTTAATATTCAGTTACACACTCTAGTAATCTTTTTTTCAAACTTATATTTTCAGTTACAATCAACGTGCCCCTTATCACAGTTCCTCGTCACACAACGCTCTTAGTATCTCATCATAAACTCATAATTTAACTCTCGCCTCAAATAACTTCTTTGATAAAACATTACTTGGTGAGTGTCCGCTAACATTCGTTTGGTGTGTATGGAATTTCGCGCAAAGCTACACGGGGACTATCTGTGCTAGCCGTCCCTAATTTAGCATTGAAAGACTAGAGGGAAGACAGCTAGTCATCACCACTCACCGCCAACTCTTGGGCTACTCTTTTATCAACGAATAGTGGGATTGACCTTCATATTATAATGCATTCACAGCTGAAAG